TTGTTGACTTTTTCTTCTTTTGAGGAATGAACTCCATGCAATGAACTTTCCTCTGAGTACTGCCTTCATAGTGTCCCAGAGATTTTGATTATTAGTATCAGTGTTCTCATTTACCTCTAAGAATTTTTTAATCTTTGCAACCTGTTGTTCTTTCAATAACATATTATTTAGTCTCCAGGTGTTGGAGCAGCTTCTATTTTTTTTATTTTATCATTGATTTCTAATTTCATTCTATTATAATCTGATGGAATGCAGGCTAGTATCTCTACTTTTTTGTATTTGCTAAGAGTTGCTTTGTGGCATAATATATGGCCAATTTTAGAGAAGGATCCATGTGCTGCTGAGGAGAAAGTGTAATCGCTTGTTGATGGATAAGGTATTCTATATATGTCAGTTAAGTCTAAGTTTATTGATTGTTTTATTGTGTTCTGTAGTTTCTTTGTTTAGCTTTTGTTGGAAGATATATCGGTGGTGAAAGAGGTGTGTTAAAGTCACCCAGAGTTATTCTATATCTGATTTTGTTTACAGAATATACTAACTTTATAAAATGAGATGAATGATATCACTTCTTTTTTCCATAGAAGAGTCTGACTAAGTGTGGAAAGCCACCTGTGAAGTGAAATGTGTAAGGACCTTTTCAACATTGAAGCCTGTGAAGGGGGTAGATCCAGTATTTGGGAACTTATAGTGGCACTCGCACTATTAAGACCACCCAATACAAGTGAACTCCCCCTCAGCTCTTCCCTTAAAGGTCCTGCGCAGCAAGGGAGATGGGTGTGACCTGTTAGAAACTGAGCACCCTACCTGCCCCCCATCTGTATCCTCTTTTGGTGGAGAACTTTCTATCAAATCTCTTTGATCTGTTCTGATATAAATAAACTGGGTGTGGGCCCTGTTCTTTGTCAGAAGTTGTATCCATCTGGTCAGATTGGCCCGTGGTTGTCCCCATTCTGAAACTATATTTCTGTTTTCTGTGGTTATTCCATAGTACTACTTTTCTTAGCTTTTATTTCTTAGCCAACCCATCCCTCTGGAGGAGAACCCTTTCCCTCACCATGCAAGATGTGAACGAGAACTAAGTCTAATTCTTTGGATATTTGGTAGAATTTGTTATACAACTGTTTTGTGTGTGTGTGTATGTGTGTGTGTGTGTGTGTGTGTGTGTAAGGGGGGAAAAAGAGAGTAGATTTATAATTCTGAGTTAGTTATTTAATGTCTAAAGGAATATTCAAGTTTCTATTCTTATAAAGAATAATAGATTTACTGAGATATTATATACGTACCATAAAATTTCCTGTTAAGCATACAATTAATTGGGCAGTTTTTATTTGGTCATGGAGTTGCCCATTTTTAAGTTGGTTATTTCTTTATTGTTGAGTTGTAACAGTTCTTTTTTAATATATAGTCCTTTCTCAAATATAAGATTTATAAGTATTCTCTCCTATTCTGTGGAGTATCAGATTATTAATTCATATGGTTTTTTTTTTCCTAAGAGTTTTTTAGTTTAGATCTTATATTTAGTTTTTTGATACATTTTGAGTGAATTTTTATATATAATATAAAAGTTCAATTTCATCCTCTTGCATGTCCCATTTGTCCTCATTTGTCCCAGCCCAATTTATTGAAGAGTATTGCCTCCTCTGCTAAATTGTCTCCAAAATCTTGTCAAAATAATTGACCAAAAATGTAAAGACTTATTTCCAGACTCTTAATTCTTAATAGATTCTTAATGTCTAGTCCATATGTCTATCCTTACGCAGGTACCACACTCTCTTGATTACTATAGCTTTGTAGTATATTTCCAAATCAGAAAGTATGAGGCGTCCACTTTTTTTCTTCTTTAACAAGAATTTTGACTATTCTGGATCCTTTGCATTTCCATAAGGGACACAAACAAACACACACACACCACATACACATAACATATATATTTGATATATATGTTAGATACACTTTGAGATCATTGTAATGGAATATTTTCTTTAATTATGCTTTTTAGGTATATTTGGTACTTTTTAGATATATTTGCCCTTTTTAAAATATTTTATTTAGAAATGGAGTCTCACTAAGTTGCTCAGTACCTCACTAAATTCTTGAAGCTGGCTTTGAACTCATGACCCTCCTGCCTCTTGAGCCATTGGAATTACAGGCATGCACCACACATGCCAGACTTCCATAGGAATTTTAAGATCAGTTTTCCAACTTCTGGGGGGGAAATTCCAGATGAAATTTAATAGGAATTGCTTTGAATCTGCAGTTAAATTCAGGAGCATTTCTGTCTTAATAGTACTATCTTAATAATCTTAGAATGCTACTTAATAGTAGTGTCTTTCAATTCACAAACATGAAATTTCATTTTAGACTTATTAGATCTTATTTAATTTCAACGATGTTTGTAGTTTTAATAAAGTCTTGGAATTCTTTATTAAATGTATTTCTAAGAATTACTTTCTTTTTTAAAAAAAATGTTTTTGTAGTTATAGATGGACAGCATGCCTTTATTTTATTTGTTTATTTTTATGTGGTGCTGAGGATTGAACCCAGTGCCTCACATGTGCAAGGAAGGCCACTGAGCTACAGCCCCAGCCCCAAGAATTGTTTTCTTATAAATCATATCACAGATCAAATTGTTTTCTTCATTTCGTCTTTGGAATGTTCATTGCTTTATAAAAATTCAGTTCATTTTTGTTCATTGATCTCATATCCTATAACCCTTCTCAACTTTTTATTTGTTCTAATAGGGGGTAGAGGTGATGTGTGTGTGTGTGTGTGTGTGTGTGTGTGTGTGTGTGTTCCATAGAATTTTTTGTATACAAGGTGATGTTACCTATGAATAGAGATAATTTTACTTCTTTCTCTTCTAATCTGGGCACTGTACCAATACCACTTCTTTCTCTTCTAATCTGGGCACTGTACCAATACCACACTCTTTCCTTGTTATTGCTTCATAATAGGTCCTATTATCTGGTTAAATAAGTTTTCTACTCTTGTTCCTTTTCTTTAATAATGATTTGGCTGTTCTAGACTTTTCACTTTTACATATAAGTTTTAGATCATCTTATGAAATTCTATTAAAATTCTTATTAGACTTATAAAACTGGCCTTCGATTGAATCTGTATATTGCTCTGAGAGAATTCAAATATTTATGATGTTTGGTCTTCTTAGCCATGAATATGGTGTTATTTGTCTCTGAGCTTAGGTCATTTTATAAACATCTTTTAATGCAACTTTTATAAATTTTCTCCATAGTATTTCACATTGTTTTTTATTACCTTTATTCCAACATGTTAGATACACTCTGAGATCATTGTAAATGGAATATTTTCTTTAATTATGCTTTTTGGGTATTTTTATGTTACTGATATATATGAATAAAATTGATTTTCATATGTTAATTTTATATCTAGCCAATTTATATCCAGCTGAACTCATATATTTTACAATTTGCAACTTATTTGGGGTTATTATGTAATTAATCATATTGCCTACAATAATAAGGTTACATTTAGGTAAACAAGGATGTGAAATAGTCAAAGAAGTAAACTATGTGGATATTCAGGGAAGAACAGCAGGCAGAAGTAAAAGCAAGTACAAAAATCTTAAAGCAGGAAAGTGACTATGTGTTCAAGGAAGTCAAAGTTCCTGGAATGCTAAGCAAACAGAAAAGTGGTAGATGAGGTCAGAAGTACTGGACCAGATTATGTAGGGCCTTGTAGACTACTGTACAGACTACTACTCTGCGTTGGGCATTTGTGAGAGGAATTTAAGCAAAGGGTGACATGATTCAGGTTTTTGAAAATCCTTCTGTCTACTCTATTCAAAATAGACTAATAAAAGTCAAGAATTAAATCAGGGAGACATGATAGAAGGCCATTGCAGTAATTCAGGTGAGATGTTGGAGGTTTAGATCAGGGTGACACTGGGAGAGGTGGTTAGAAATGGCTAGATTCTGGGTACATTCTGAAGATAGAATCAACAGAATTTGCTAGATGTTGCTTAGGAAAAAAAAAAAAATCAAGGATGAGTCCAGGTGTTTTGTTTTGAATCATTGGGAAAACATGGTTTCCATTAGTAAAGAATGTTTTTTTAAGAAGTTAGATATCAGTTCATAAAATGTCTTCTTTATAAGGCCTTTGAAAGAAATTTGAGTCAGCATTTGGTAATAGTTGCAATTTTCCAAAGAACTCACTTTTATCTTTGTTTTTATCTAATGAGAACTGCAAATTATATGACTGATTGCATTAGCTGCTCAAAAATGAAGAACCACATTTGTGTTCCTTATAAAAAGGAAAAAATATATGTATCTTTTATTGACGTCATTAATCTTTGACTTTTTTTTTTTGCTTTCCTCACTATTTCTAATTTGTTTTCTTATATATTATAAAATATAAGTGCCCCATTTGGGCACTCGACACATGAGTTGATGAACCCAACTATCAGGAAGCATTCATTCTTATGGAATGAATACTGACAAATTACAGCATATGTAGTAGATTTGTAAGCTATACAGTATATTAGAAGATAATATGTGCTATGTGAGTGGGGAGTCAAACATGATGAGGGAGATTGAAGGTGAGGAATGTGTGAGTTTCTGAATTAAATAGAGTGACCTGGATGGGCTACACTGAGGAAACGACATTGGTGCAAAGATTTGAAGGAGGTGAGGGTTTAGTGTAGCTGTCTAAGGTAAGAGCATGGCATCAGAGCAGTATCAGAGCAAAGGTCCTGAGGTAGGACATGCTTGGCAGGCTTAAGGAACAGCGAAGAGGCCACAGTGGAGATGAATGAGTGAGAAGAGTGGTGACAAATGAAGTTAGAGGGGAATTGGGGTTGGGAGGCAAATTGCACAGGAACTGTTATTAGATCTTCAGCATTGTCTCTATTGTCTACTGGACACCAATTATAGTTCTATGTATGATTCGATTTGCATTTTAAAAGTATCACTCTGGCAATTATGCATAACTTTCATAGGAGTTAATGGTCATTTCTGCCATTTTAGGTATATTACAGCTAATACTGACACAGAAGAACCAAGTTTTCCAGGCACTAAGGCATTTAACACACATGTAGAAGAATTAAAGTTAGATGCCCTTCTTCAGAAGGCAGATCATTTACGTATGAATGAGTCTGGCAAGATGGAGAGTTTTGAACTACTTTGTGACTACAAAGAAAAGGTAAGAACTTCTGGGGTTATGGCTCAGTGGTAGAGTGCTTGCCTAACATGAGGCACTGGGTTCAATCCCTGGCACCACATGAAAAAACTAAATAAACAAAGAAAAGGTAAGAACTTTTTGACAATATGTTGTTTTCATTTTTTTACTTTATCTATCATCTTATTTATGATATGTCACAGTTCATATAATGTAAATGATTGATGTGAAGTTTTTTAATAAAATGACTAAAATTTTTAAAAACTTAAGTATAAGAGTTAATTAATAGGATATATCAAGATGGCAGAATAGAGAAGGTCACTTTCCTGGCTGTTCTGTGGTATGAAACCAAGAAAGTAGATAGGCAGTGTCTCAGCAAGGTCAGTGAATAAAAAAAAAAAAAAAGGCAGTACTTTACTGGAATTTAATACTGGATAGTCAAAGCAGATCAGAGACTCAGGAGGTTGGTTATAGTAAAGTTAGAAAGAAATCCCCATGCCACAGCCACTGCCACAGCCAGAGAGGTTCCTGTGTGAGCAAAGTGGAGGGATAAAGGAATTAAAGGAACCAGCATTTTTAGGAACCCTGAGACATGTCTAGGTATGGAAAGTTTATAGATCAAAAACACTGCCTGATTAAACTGAAAGGCATACTGCACAATATCCTCATGTGGGAAAGAAGCTGATTCTCTCCCTGTGGCATGTGGAAGACAAAGGAAGGAATAATTTTGCAGCCATTTCATGGGGGCCAGCAGCTGGGGTAGAAAATTCCTGGTAAACCTGAGTTTGGCCTGAAATACAAGTCTTGCAAACCCACATTGCACGACATAGAGAGTGCCTGTGTGACCAGGTAAAAATCAAATGTGGAGAAAGGTTTACACAGAGGAATATTGGTTGTGGAAACCTACCCAGCTCTCCCTTTCCCTGTCCCAATCAAGCTGCTTGCAGGATCAGCTGGGAGAGTCATGCCTGGCCAGGAATTTGAAAGGGCCAGAGCAGGAGAGATTGAGTTTGGAGACTGAGCCCAAGACCAGGAAATGTTGGGTCTGCAGGTGACACAGTGGGCTAAGAATTGGCTCCTCCACCCACAGTGGAACCCAGGGGAGATGGCTGGGGGGAAATCTTCCAGTGAAGACTCGAAATTGCTGAGCCCAGAGGTGTGCTGGCTTAAAATCTCCAGACCAATTTGCATTCTATAAAGAGCCTCCAGCATATCTAACCAAATATTTGGTTGATTCCCAAATATTTTATTTTCTTTGAAGCTACTGTGAATGGGATAGTTTTCCTTATTTCTCTTTCAGTTGATTCATCACTGATGTTTAGGGAATGCAATTGATTAATGTGCGTTATTATATCCTGCTACTTTGCTGAGTTCATTCACTAGTTCCAGAAATTGGTGGTTTTGGAGGGTCTTCTAAATATAGAATCATGTAAGCAAAGTAAGATAGTTTGAGTTCTTCTTTTCCTATTTGTATCCCTTTAATGTCTTTCTTCTAATTGTTTTGGCTAGAATTTCAAGGACTATGTTGAATAGAAATGGTGAAAGAGTGTATCCCTGTCTTATTCCAAGTTTTAGAAGGAATGCTTTCAATGTTTCTACATTTGGAATGATGTTGGCCTTGGGTTGAACATATATAGCTTCTACAATGTTGAAAGATGTTCTTTCCCTAGTTTTTCTAGTATTTTGAGCATGAATGGATTTTGTATTTTGTCAAATTCTTTTTCTGCATCTATTGAGATGATCACATGATTCTTGTCAAGTCTGTTGATGTGATGAATTATGTTATTAAATTCTGTATGTTGACCCAACCTCGCATCTCTGGGATGAACCCCACTTGATCATGCTGCACTATCTTTGTAATATGTGTTTGTATGTGATTTGCCTGTATTTTAGTAATAATTTTTGCATCTGTGTCCATCAGGGATATTGGTCTGAAGTTTTCTTTCCTTGATATGTCTTTGTCTGGCTTTGGTATCACATGCTTCAAAGAATGAGTTTGGAAGGATTCCCTTATTTTCAATTTCATAGAATGATTTGAGGAGGATTGGGGTTAGTTTTTCTTTGAAGGTCTGGTAAAACTAGGTTGAGAACCCATCTGGTCCTGGACTTTTCTTTCTTGGTAGGCTTTTGATGACATCTTCACTTTTATTTCTTAAAATTGATCTGTTTAAATTTTGTATGTCCTGTTGATTCATTTTGTATAGGCCATGTCTCTCTAGAAATTTGTTGATGTCATCACAATTTTCTATTTTATTAAAGAATAAATTTTCAATATAGTTTCTGATTATTGCCTGTATTTTAGAGGTATCCATTATGATATTTCCTTTCTCATTATGAATTTCAGTAATTTGTTTTTTCTCTGTCTCTTCATTAACATGAATAAGGGTCTATCAATTTTATTTACTTTTTCAAAGAACCAACTTTTTGTTTCATTGATTTTTTGGATTGTTTTGGTTTCAATTTCATTGATTTCAATTCTGATTTTAATTATTTCCTGTCTTACACTGCTTTTGGTGTTGATTTGTTCTTTTTCTAGGGCTTTGAGATATAATGTTAGGTTATTTATTCAGTGACTTTCTATCCTTTTAATGAATGAGCTCAATGATTTCCTCTTGGCATCTCCTTCATAGTGTCCTAGCGATCTTGATGTGTTGTATCACTATTCTCATTTACCTCTAAGTAATTTTTTAATTTCATCCTGATTTCTTTTTCTATCCATTGGTCACTGAAGAGCATATTATTTATTCCCCAGGTATTAGAGTAGATTCTATTTTTAATTTTATCATTGATTTTTAATTTCATTCTATATGAACTGACAGAATGCAGGGTATTATCTCTCTTTTTTGTATTTGTTAAGAGTTGCTTTGTGCCATAAGATATGGTCTATTGTACAGAAGGATCTATGGGTTGCTGAGAAGAAAGTGTATTCAGTGATTGATGGATGAAATATTATATATATATATATATATAAAAGTCTCTCTCTCTATATATATATATATATTATTAATTGTATTTTTTAGTTCTATAGCTTCTTTTTGTTTGGAGAATCTATTCAGTTGTGAGAGAGGTATGTTAAAGTCACCAAGTATTATTGTGCTGTGGTCTATTTGATTCTTGAAATTGAGAAAGATTTGTTTGATGTATGCAGATGCTCCATTGTTTGAGCATCTGCATACATTTATGATTGTTAGTCCACTATGTGAAAGACTTCCACAATGAAAACTAAGAGAACACTAAAGAAAGAAATTGAAGAAGACCTTAAAAGATGGAAAGATCTCTCACATTCTTGGATAGACAGAACTAATAATGTCAAAATGTCCATACTACCAAAAGTGCTAAACAGATTTAAAGCAATTCTTACTAAAATTCCAATGACATTCTTCTTATAAATAGAAAAGGCAGTTATAAAATTCACTTGGAAAAACAAGAGGCCCAGAATAGTCAAAGCAATCTTTAGTGAAAAAACGGAAGCAGGAGGCATCACAATATAAGACCTTAATTTATATGATAGAGCTATAGTAACAAAATAGCATGGTGTTGGCACCAAAACAGACATGAAGACCAGTGGTACAGAATGGAAGACACAGAGACTAACTCACATAAATATAGTTATATCATATTAGACAAAGGTGCTATAAACATACATTGGAGAAAAGGTAGCCTCTTCAACAAATGATGCTAGAAAAACTGGAAATCCATATATAGCAAAATGAAATTAGTCCCCTATCTCTCACGCTACACAAAACTCAAAGTGGATTAAGGATCTAGGCATTATCCAAGAGTCCCTGTGCCTACTAGAAGAAAAAGTACACCCAAATCTCCATCACATTGTCTTAGGAACCAAATTCCTCAACAATACTCCTAAAGTGCAAGAAGTAAAATCAAGAACCAATAAATGGGATAGTATCAAATGAAAAACTTCTTTACTGCAAAGAAAACAATAATGTGAAGCGAGAGCCTACAGAATGGGAGAAAATCTTTGCCACATGCACCTCAGATAGAGCATTAATCTCCATATAAAGAACTCAAAAAACTTAACACCAAAAAACAAATAACCCAATCAATAAATGGAAAAAGGAACTTAACACACACATCACAGAAAAAGAAATACAATCAGTTAACAAATATATGAAAAAATGTTCAACAGCTCTAGCAAGAGGAATGCAAATTAAAACTACACTGAGATTTCATCTCACTTCAGTCAGAATGGCAAATATCAAGAATACAAGTAACAATAAATGTTGGTGAAGATGTGGGGAAAAAGGAACACTCATACATTGCTGGTGGCACTGCAAATTAGTGCAGCCACTCTGGAAATCAGTATGGAGATCCCTCAGAAAACTTGGAATGGAACACCATTTGATCCAGTTATCCCACTCTTCAGTCTATACCCAAAGTACTTAAAATCAGCATACTATAGTGACATGGCCACATCAATGTTTATAGCAGCTCAATTCATAATAACTAAACTGTGGAACCAACCTAGAGGTTCTTAAACAGGTAAATGGATAAAGAAAATCTGGTACATACACAATGGAAAATTACTCCACCATAAACAAAAATGAAATTTCGGCATTTGCCAATAAATGGATGAAACTGGAGACTGTCATGCTAAGTGAAATAAGCCAATCCCTGAAAAACCAAAGACCAAAAATTCTGTCTAATATGCAGATGCTAACTCACATTAAGCAGGGCAGAGGAAAGAATAGAAGTTCATAGACAAAGGGGAATAAAGGGAAGGGGGGATAGGAATAGGAAAGACAACAGAACGAATGGGACATAAATTTCTTATGTTCTAATATGAATACATGACCAGCATAACTCCACATCACATACAATCACACAAATGGGAAGTTGTACTCCATGTATGTATGATATGTATGATATATCAAAACACATTTTACTGCCAGGCATGGTGGCACACACCTATAATCCCAGTGGCTCAGGAGGCTAAGGCAGGAGGATCATGAGTTCAAAGCCAGCCTCAGCAAAAAAAGTGAAGAGCTAAGCAACTCAGTGAGAACCTGTCTCTAAATAAAATACAAAAAAGGGCGTGGCTCAGAGGTTGAGTGCCCTGGGTTCAATCCCTGGTACTAAAAAAAAAAAAAAAAGGTTGCTATCATGTATAACTAGAGAACAAATAAAAAATTTTAAAAATGAAAAAAAGAGTTAATGAAACTTATCTAAGGTCGTAAAAATAGGTACCAGACCTATAATTATAAGGATTTCCTTTTTTATTAATTTATATACATAAATGATTAAGAATAAGACATTATGCCAAGGCATATAGTACCTGTTCTCTGGGGAGAGGAAAAACAATATTTTAATTTTTCTATTTTGTTATGCGTTTGATGGGACTATCAATATTTAAAGGTATTTCAACCGGTGGTCATTTTGCAATCTTTAATGTTGGACCTGAATGGAAAAACTCATCCCTTTTTCCACTACCAGTAAAGAAAAAGGTGTCAGGGGAGGATATTGCAGTATCCTCAAAAGAAAAAAAATCTTTCCCATGAGCAATTTAAGCCTAACCTCTAAACACATTGTCTAAAAACCTAAGTATTCTGAGTAGAAATATACCAAAACATCACACTGTACCCCATAAAAAATACAATTACTATCTGTCAATAAAATTTTAAAACCTTAAAAAATCTTCAAGATTATATTTGGAAAGTTTAGGTTAAAAGTATGATTACCCTTTTGAGTATATATACTTAAGTATACAGATATTATTCATAATGTTCACTGAGCTATCTATATTGATAAAATAAATAACTTAGAAAAATAAGAGGGTACCATAACCCACAGAGAATTTATGGATTCTGATACCTGTCAATTCTCTCTTCTACATACTAAGACCAAGTGCCTAGGTAATATTAATTAGGTTTAAGATTCAATAATACATTAGGTCACATTTCTTAGTCATAGATATTTGGATTTAAAATGTTAAATACTTAAATTTGTGTATGCATAGATTCAGTTACTTAAAATACCAATTGTTAAAAATTGCAGTTGGAAAACAGTTTTAGTCTGAACAAATATTGAGTACATCTAATGGGCAATTTTATCTTTTCAGTTTAAAGATGAAGCAGAGTATATGTGGCGACTTGTTCGTTCTTATGGAGACATGAGTGAGTTGTCTACAAACACACAAGAAAAGAAACATTATGCTAATATTGGTAAGTATTTTTTCAAGACTGGTTATTCTCAAGTGGCAATTAGGATCTAAAATAAACTGCTAGTGAATTATAATTAAATCTAAATAATCTTAATTAAAATCAATATGTTTAATTTACTTTAGTATATCCTAGTAGCAAAAAATATACACAATCTCAGGACAGTTTTCTTAGAGCTAAAATATACATTGTTTAAAAATATTTGAGCATATTAGAATAGGCAACTGAAAAAAACCCTCAAATATCACCTTCTAAAGTTTATATAATCACAGAAAGACATTAAGTGGTAGTATTGGAGGAACAGTAATAGGCAAAGGACTATTGTCACCAGCAGTAATCTACCACAATTAAAATAACACACCTTACATATTCAGGGGAGTACTCTGGAGACCATAAGGAAAGAAACTCTCATGTTTTTTTTTCAAAATATATCTTGATAAATCAAGATTAATCTTGAGTTAATAATGTTAAAGCTAACTGATAAATACATCATGATCTTTAATACTGTCATCTATAATTTTTTGTATATTTTTTTAATTCCCTAATAACAACAAACAATAGCCAGAATGTCAAGTTGTTGTTCTTAGTGGTATCATTTTTATATTTCACCTTGACTCTCAATGAATGCCCAAACACTTTCTTATAAAAGCTCCTAACTGCCATCTCTCTGAGCTTCAGCATTATAATTTGGCATCACGGCCCCTAAAATTCTTCTTTTATTCCAAAGCCAACTCTTTTCCAGGCCTGTCTTCTCTAAGATAGCATGAGGAAGAAATGGCAAGAGAGATCTCCCGTCTAGTTCTCTGTTGTGTTTATTTCTACAAAGGAAATATTACCAAACTCTTTGTGATACTTCAGCTTGGAGATATGTTTACGGAATGACCTCTGCACTTTAGTCTTCCTGCAGAGGGAGGAAAATAAGAGGACCTCCCTTCTTGTTTGTCATATTCATTATCAGCTTTGTGGATCAGTTTGTCTGGAGCAATCCAATTTGCAGGCTAAATACAAATGGAATTCTAGAGAAGAGATTTATTAACTTCAAGGAAAATAGAAACTTAATCAAATAGAACAAAGTATTTAATTTTCATATCTACTGAGAAAATGTAAATATATTTATGTAAAATGTTTGATACTTTCAGAAATTAGATACAAGTTTTTCTTAAGCACTTGCCCTAACCTGGGCTTTCTATTAGCAGGTAGCAGGTGAAGATCACAAAGATGGAATAACAGAATACATAGAGTCTCAAAATAGACTATGGGGAAGCTTACAACTGATGGGAAGGCACTTTTATTCAAATAACCATATGTATAAGGAACCAAACTGGAATAAGCTGTTATCAAAGAAGAGTGCAGGGTATTAACCCATCTAGTCCCAAGTTTTTAGTTCTACAAATATTTAAATGAAATTGACACAGGTGTATCACAATATGTTGTAAATTATAATCTAGAGCTCAGTACATAATTTTTTATCTTTAATAATAGTAATGAATGTTATCGCTATTCATTCCTGTTACTTTCCTCAAAAGAACAGAACTCTAAAAGCATCAATATTTATTTCAAAGTTACAGAAGTGGTGTATTTGTTTTTCTACGTAAGTTTTTTAGGTGTTTCATAGATGGGATGATGGTACATAACGGATTGTGAGATTGTATACCGTGGAGTATGTGATTGCAAGGATTGGAGTTTGATACGGGGAAGTCTTTCTTATGGAAGTTAACAGTTCCCCATAGAGTAAAATTACTTTGAATCTCTATTTTTAAATGGTTCAGGAGTTTAACTGAATTAATGAAATGGATATATGCTTGAGGAAATCCCGGGGAAGATGCAGCATAGAATTGAAGTAGAATATATAGGAAGAAAGGAAGGAGGGAGGAAGGAAGATATGGAGGGAAAAGGAAAAAAGGGAGGAAAGAAACGAAGGAAAATTTATCATGTCAAAGAAAAAGGAGAAATACCTCAGATATTGAAATAATTAAGAAGACTTTATTGAAATAAGTTAAAAAAGACTTCATTCCTTTTATTCATCCATATAAGAAATATTTATTCAGGCTGGGGATGTGGCTCAAGCGGTAGTGCGCTTTTCAAGCAAAAAAATAAAAATTAAAAAAAAGAAGTGGGGGAGTGGAGAAAGAAGGTATAAAACAAAATGGCCTCTTTGAGAAACATTCTGAGAATGTGATTTTCTTTAAAACATTTTGATTTTTTCAAAGTATTAGACACACCTCTGCCCAAAGTAATTACTACATGATCAGAGTTATTCTAAAATTAAGTGAAATAACTTAGGGAAATAATCTCTGTCACTGAGCCTCTTCATTATTGCAAGTGACTCAGTAAGAACATCATCTTCCTTACTCCTTTAGACACTCACTCTACTGTGTTCTGTTTTCTTTCTCCTTGCTCTTTTTTTTTTTTTTTTTGCAATTTACTTGTTTATATACTTGCTACCTTCTGACCTGTGAGCCCTGAAAGGTCAAGGACTGTGTCTTATTTGACATTTTATTCCCAGATATAGCACTTAGTAGTTATTCAGTAAATGTTGTTTGAATTGATTACAAAAAAAAAAAAATTCTACTAGGCTTAAGTGTAGTGACTGAATGATTTTCTTGTGCTTGGTTAAGTCTGTTAATCGAGTGGGTCTTGAACCTTAGCACACATCAGAATCATTGGAGGAGAGTTAAAACGCAGAGTTTATGATTGAGTAGTCTCCCACATGTGCTTTTCTAACACATTTCCAGGTGATGATAATGCTTTTGGTCTTGGGATCATACTTTAGGAACCACTGATATAATTACAGAATCCACCTCCTAACAACTCACATGAAAGTTCTAAAAGCACATTTATCTTTCAGGAAAAACTTTAGGTGAACGAGCTGTTGCTAGAGCACCCATGAATGGATACTGTCACCTGTGGTAAGTATACAGGATTTGTGCAGTATTTTGTGTTCTAATATACTGTTTATATTTTGCAATGGATTTTTAAAGCTACAACTGACCCAATGAACTTGTCAGCCATATTCACTAGAAAAACAAAAATGTGTTTAGGAGATAGTACAGCAACTGTGCTATTTTTTATTCTCATGTGTTTCTTTTTAAGCATATTTTAAATACATTTAATTTAAACTTTCATTGAAGACTTCATCAATGAATCTACTAAGTCTAATGCCTTTGCAGATGATAAATTATAATTAAATCTAACAACATAGCATTTTGTTTGAAAACATACTGAAATAATGTCATGTTCTAAACAAATATAGAAAGAATGCTTCAAATAATAAAAAAATATGTTAGCCATTTTCTTCTGAGTTGCTGAGTCATCAGATACAATTTCCATAGGTCAAAGAAAGGCCAAATACAGGAAAATTTTTATTTGTTTTCCTTAGTTGTAAATGACAGTAGAATGCACTTTGATACATCATACATAGATGGAGTATAATTTCTCATTCTAAACATAGGGAATTTAATTATTTGGGTGGCATGCGTGAATATCCTTAACGCAAGAAAAAAACTATTCAGGATTTGTTTCAGACCCTTTGTATATTTAAAATTATAAAACACAAATAAGAAGAAATACATTGCTTTTAGTTATTGTTCTTCCTTTTAGTTGCGTTTAATTCCTTAGTTTTCCCCCACTCCCCAACAATACAGATAGGTATTTTAGATGCTAAGAAGATGAAATAACCATTTATGACACTTTCTTCAGTCTTAGATTTCCATAAATCCATCCCCTCTCTGGGTGTATTTGATTCCCTCCTTACACTGTTATGTAAAAAACTCTCTCCAAATAGCTGCTTTTCCACAGGTCCCCATTTGACCTTTGGCAAATCATTTTTGCCCACCTAACTGAAGTACAAACCAACTTCCCAGATCATACTGTTTCTCTGGCTTGCTGTCAGCAGGGGGCGCCCCATCACAAAAATCTCATTTAAAACTCCGAGTGCAGGAATCTCATAACGTTTCCTAAATCCCCCAAATTTTAAAAACAAAGGCTGAAATATGAAAAGGTTTTTAGAAGCTGCCTTTACTTGGCCTAAGATGAGCTGCAATCCTGGTTCCTGACTTCTTTCATGACAAGGTGGTCCAAATCTCGCCCACCTCACCATCTCTTCCTTCCTCCTGTGAAGACTTTGCCTTCCCGCACACATCCTAGAGATGGCTAAGGCACAAAGCCTGCAGAATTTGTGAATGATTTCCCTAGCATGGCTTGCATGGATAGAACATCTTGACTTAGGAACTGAAGCACCTAGTAGAGAAAGTATTATTCTTACCCATGGTGCTTCTGCAAAAACTCTAGGAAAGGGACAGTTTTGCAGTTACATCCTATCCTGGTAGAGATTTTTAAGATCACTTCCCTAGTATATAGGAGTGTTGGTTATTATTTCCATAGCCACATTTTCCTAGATAGTTTAATTCATATAGTATTAAAATATACTAATAAACTAACATGTGTATTTGTTAAGTACTTCCTGTCTTCCATTTTTATGAATTACGGTAGTCAATTTGTACTGATCAAACATCTCTCCCCCCATCCCCGCCTTCCCTCCATCTCTCTCCCCTCCACCTCACTTTCCCATTCCTTTATAATTGGAGGTGTTTGGCATTTGGTTAGCCAGATTAGGACGCAGAAAGAATACACATTTTGCTCCTAACTCTGTCTGAGCTTTTTCCTTTCCCCACTATTTCCCTTTTCCTCCTTCTGCCCCTCCCTAATCCTGTCTTCTTCCTCTGAAGCTCTTCCTCTTCTGTTCTCATCCTTTTCCCATTCATTGATCTGTATTTATGAAGAATCACATTTAAAATGTACATTTAATGTAAATCCTCAACCTGAGGACATTTACCAATGTGAGTTTCCAATTTTCATAGAGGAACAATATTGAATCTTGTCTGAGGGTTTCCTAAGTATCTTGAGATCCATTTTGTAAGCACAGATTATGCTGAACTCACCCTTAGTAGTTGCTGTAGTCTATCTTCCACCAATCTGGTTACTTCTCCATTAATCTATCTTTTTTAAACTTTTTGTTGTGAAATAAATGCCTTGTCTGTAACAATGAGGTTTAACTCCAAGATTAAATCTCATCGATACATATGCAAAGCAATGATCCAAATGTGTTTCCCATGATTTTTTGGTATCAGTTTTTAATTTAAAAATACTCAAATGTAATTGATTGATAAATATTAATAAATTTGAATGCAAAAATTATTCAGTTAAACAGTTGAGGTAAAAGGTGATATAAGAGCAACTTAAACTTTGACTTGAGAAATAATGGGTGAAATTTAGGTAAACCTATTCCATAATTAATTATAATAGAACGTTGAGAAAATATCTTCTTTTAATGAAATAGTTTTCAGTATGTTAAGATGTTAAACCTTTTCTCGTTCATTCAGTATGAGTAACAAAGTATGGCCTGCAGGCCAAATTTCTGACTGCCTGATTTTATAAATAAAGATTTACTGGAGCACAACCACACCCATGCATTGCTCATAGCAACAGAGTAGTTGTAAAAGAGATTATCTGGCTCCAAGCCTAAAATATTTACCGTCTAGTTCTGCATCAAGTTTGCAATGTTATATGATGTTCTATAAGTCTTTACTTTAAAATAAAAGATGTAATCATTAAGAATAATTTTCATTAAGGGTTAATAATAGGTAACAACTAATAAATCAGGAATCACTTTAAAGATATAATTTTCATCTTTATATTTTCCAAAATGAATTGCTTTGTGACTTTAAGGCTGCTTAAACTTTCTATGTTATTCTGTTGTTTTTGTCAGACCAGGCTAAAATACTTCTGAAATCAAGAGAATAAATGACCAATGTATTTGCAGCTTGTAGGTCAAACAGGGATGGCCTTAATCATAAATAATGTCTTACATATTTATTGTACTCTACCATTTGCAAATTATGTCCACATGCTCTATAGCATGTGATTCACAGAACAGCCTGTTTTCATTTCTAAGTAGGGTAAACAAAGCACAGTGTGTATGAGTGTGCGTGCGTGCATCTGTGTGTGTGTGTGTGTTTGTGTCACACAGTAAGTGGAAAAATAGGAACTAGAACTCAGATCTGGTATTACATGATCACTCTTTCTTCTGTGAAGTATACTGTCTTTGCTTTCTCAAACTATATAAATTGCATTTGCATTGAATCAGAAAACACTGCAGGGAAACTAATGGAGTTGTACTTGATAAAACAGTATGGTTGTCAACTATTAAGAATATCTTTAATATTAATGCAAAGAAAATACAGAATTCTTGTCAAAGCTTTTACAGTTAAAATACCTCTAGATGGAGATAATATACCACATTGTTAACTTTCTTCAGAGTTCCCAACAACCTGAGAGTTTGGGAAATAAAACATTAAATTATGTTTTTAAAAAATTAACAATATTATAACTTAGCGAGGCCCTAAGCAACTTAGCAAGATCCTGTCTCTAAATAAAATATATAAAACGTCTAGTTCTGCAGCAAGTTTGCAATGCTATATGATGTTCTATAAGTCTTTACTTTAAAGTAAAAGATGTAATCTTTAAGGATAATTTTCATTAAGGGTTAATAATAGGTAACAACTAATAAATCAGGTATCACTTTAAAGATATAATTTTCATCTTTATATTTTCCAAAATGAATTGCTTTGTGACTTTAAGGCTGCTTAAACTTTCTATGTTATTCTGTTGTTTTTGTCAGACCAGGCTAAAATACTTCAGTGGTCAAGTGCCCCTGGGTTCAATCTCTGGTACAAAAAATAATAATAATAATAATAATATATATATATATATATATATATATATATATATATATTATAAAAGACACTTAGGTAGAAAAGAATTGATGACCTTTTTGGTAGAAGGTAGCCAGGTGACCCTGAATGCATAATATGTAAGAAGATAAATAATGTTTTAGATTTGAAAGAAACAAATTTCCAAAAAAAACAAGACTCAGTGACAAATTATTTAAAAGGGAAAATAATATATAATATATAATAATATTTATTTACAATATATAATATTTATGCAAACCATGGGTTTTTTGTTTTCTTTTTTCTTTACTTGAGTAACTTGGAGAGAATGTGTTGAGAAAGCAAAATAAAAGCTTAGAGATGTGCAGAAGTAGTTCTGGTTTCCAGAAAATACAAAATCAAATCCATTTCTGTAAATTATTCCTTTAATTTTAGCACAATGAGGTAGTTGAGTTGTTTTATAACTCTCTAGATGAGAAAGCAAAATTAAGTAGACTCAACGCAGATATTCCTAAAATGCAACATTATACACACACACACACACACACACACACACACATTTATTTATTTATTGCTGTGCTAGTAGTTGAAGTAGGGAAATCAGCCTAGTATACGTGGATTTAAGCAAGGCATTCTATCCCTATAGACAAGAAATAGATGTGTAGGCAAGTTGATGAGGTTACTCATGCTACCTGAAGGGTTTGAGCTCTGTTTTTTAAAGATCATTGTGAATGTGGAGGTTATTCTAGGTGAAGTCTATATATCTTAGACCCTAAGGTGTTTAGAAATTTTGTCAGTGGATTAAGATATAGAAGGTATGCTTACAAAAGGTTATCTGCAACCTAAAATAAAGGAACAGAGTATATGATGGATGGCAATAGTAATTCAAAAGATTTTGACATGATTAAAAATTATAACCTAATCTTTTCACCTAGAGATATCCCACATTCTTCTTTGAATGTGTATTCCTCCTTTTGATCCAAGAGATATCTCTTGGCAATGTCCTTATTCTCCTTTGAAAATATATATCTACTTACCTAAATAAACCTCCATCTATATCTCTGAAAAAAAATAAACATCAAAAATTTTAAAAATTATACCTAATAGAATGTGAATTAATAGAAATGTGGGTGGAGAGATGGAGAGAATAGTGTCAGAAATGCCTAATAACATTAGAGAAAAATCTAAATTTTAATAAAGTATGCAGTTTAATCGATAATAGCATATTAATAAAGGTATATTGTGACAATTTCCTATCAATGTTGCATAAAAATATTGGTGCAATTATGACAAATTTACTATAGTAATGTAAGGTATTAACAACAGGGACAACTATGTGTGGGTTATATGGGAACTATCTGTACTATCTGAAAATTTTCTATAAATCTAAAGCTATTTCTATTGAGAAATGTATATTTAATAGGAAGTGACCAAATGTTTTAAGTGCAAATAAGTTGGAAAATCATAATTCTTATAACAACAAGAGGGAGCTTGTACAGGTAGTTATGGGAATTTTGGAAGGATTGGGATTACTCCACAATCTAGAACTCTTTGTGGTGGTATGATAACAGAACTTCAGGGGACATTTCAAAAGAACATGATAGATAGACAATCTGAGTAAGCCTATATCCATATTTAAAAATGGAATAAATAATTAATAACTTTCCAAAAGAGAGATCATTAGGCCTGGATGAGTTCACTGGTAAATTCTACCACACATTTAAGGAAGAAATTACTACAATTTTCTACAATCCCTTTCAGAATAAAGAAGCAGATTATACATTTTCCAATTTATTCTATGAGGCCAGCACAACTCAAATGTCAAAATCAGACAAAAACATTATAAGAAAACCACTCATTGGTATCTCATTAATGTAGATCCAAAATTCTCAACACAATATTAGCAAATTGGATTATATACTAGAACCAAGTGGAATTTATCCTCAGAGATATGCAAGGTGGTGATTCAGAATTTTGAAATCAATTAATATATCACATTAACAGATCAAAGAATAAAAATCACATGATCATATAAATAGATTCAGAGCATTTAACAACATCCAACATTTATTCGTGTAAAAACCTGAAAACAGGGCTACGGTTGTGACTCAGTGGTAGAGCACTCACATGACGCATGTGATGCACTGGGTTCGATCCTCAGCTCCACATAAATAAATAAAGTAAAAGTATTGTGTTAATCTACAACTAAAACAGAAAGAATGAGAGAAAGAAAGAGAGAGAGAGAGAGAGAGAGAGAGAGAGAGAAAGAAAGAATTATAAAAACCTGAAAAACAAACAAAATAAAGTCTCAGCAAATTACAAATAGAGGGTAATTCCCTCAAGTTGATAAATGTTTTAGGCAGCTATTTCACCACTGGGACTAAAAGACCTAACCAGAACAATTTTAGAGGAGAAAAAGTTTATTTGGGGGCTCATAGTTTCAGAGTCTCAATCCACATACAGCAGGGTCCATTCCTTGGGGCTCTGGGTGAGGCAGAGCATCATGGTGGAAGAGTGTAGTAGAGGGAAGCAGCCCACCTGATAATCAGAAAGGAGAGAAAGATATCTCCACTTGCCAGATACAAATATATACTCTAAATCCATGGCCCCAATGACCCACCTGTTCTGGCCACACCTCACTTGCCTCTAGTTACAACTCAGTTAATCCCATCAAGGGATGATTCACTGATTGGGTTAAGGCTCTCACAACCTGATCATTTTCCCTCTGAATGCTCTTGCATTGTCTCACACATGAGCTTTGGAGGACACCTCACATCCAAACCATAACAATAATGAACATCAAAAATCCTACAGTTAACCTCATACATAAATGGTGAGAAATTTGCTTTCCTGGATTAAAATAAACTACTATTAGTAACAAGGAAAGGATGCCCCTTCTCACCAGTTTTTCAACATTCTATTAAAAGTTATAGCTAATGCAATAAGACATGAAAAGTATATAGATTGGGAGTGAAGAAATAAAAATGTCTTTATTTCCTAATGACATAATTGTCTTTGTAGAAAATCCAAAAGAATTCACAAAATAGCTCATGAAATTAAATAGTTATGACAAGGTTGCAGGATATAAGGTTAAATACAAAAGTAAATAGCTTTCCTGTATACTAGGAATGAGCAAGTGAAATTTGAAATTAAAATATATTAACATTTGTACTATCACACCTAAAACCGAAATATTTGTAAAACTCTAACAAAACATGTACAATATCTATATGAGAAAGACTATAAAACTCCAATGGAAGATATCAAAGAATGAAAAAAATGGAGAGAGATTCCATCTTCATGAATAGAGACTCAATGTTGTCAAGATGTCAGTGTTTCCCAAGTTGATTTATAGATTCAACACAATCCCAATCAAAATCCCACAAGTTATTTTATGGATATCAACAAATTTAGTTTATATGGAGAGGAAAAAAGACTTAATTCAATACTGAAGGAAAACAAAGCCAATGGACTAACACTGCTCAACTTCAAGACTTACTGTAAAGCTATAGTAATCAAGACAGCATGACATTGCAGGGAAAAAAAGATCAGCGGAACAGAACAGGGAACTAAGTATAGATTCATATAAATATGTTCAAATAGTTTTTTACAGAGAAATAAATATAATCTTCCAAAAATAGTGCTGGAACAACTAGATATCCATACGAAAAAATAATGAGAGTGTAGACTTTATATCCTTCACAAAAACTCAAAATGATTATAGACCTAAATGTAAAATGCAAAACTTATAAAACTCATAAAAGATAACATAGGCAAAAACCTAGATAACCTTGGGTATAGCAGTGGCTTTTTATATACAACACCAAAGATTCACTCCATGAAAGAAATAATTTATAAACCAAGTTTCACTGGAGTTTAAAATGAAAAACAACGTAAAGAATATTAGAAAACAGGCCACAGACTGGGAGAAAATCTTTTTTTTTAATCTGACAAAGAACTGTTATACAAAATGTACAGAGATTACTTTAAATTTCACATTAGGGCAACAAACAACACAAGTAAGAAATAGAAAAAAAATCTGAATGGACACTTCACCGAAGAAGTTTTATAGATGGTAAGTAAGTAAAAGAGGTTCAACATGATATGTCATCAGTGAACTTTAAATCAACAGTGAGATACCACCATATACTTATTAGAACAGCCAAAATCCAAAACCCTGACTACACCAAATGCTGACAGGGATGTGAAGCAATAGGAATTCTTATTTACTGCTGGTGGAAATGTATAATGGTACAGCCATTTTAGAAGACAACTTGGAAGTTTCTTATAAACTAAATTGTTGCCATAATATCCACAATTATACTCCTTGATATTTATCAAAGAATTGAAAATGTATTTCTATACAAAAGTCTGCATATGAATGCTTATAACAGCCTTATTCATAATTGCCCAAACGTGGAAGTAGCCAAGATATCTGTCATTAGGTGAATGGGTAATTATATTGAAGTACATCCAGGTAATGAAATATTATTCATCACCAAAAAGAAATGGTCTGTCAAGCCATGAAAAGACCTGGAGGAAGCTTAAGTACATTAATAAGTAAAAGAAGTCAATTTGAAAAGACTGCACACTGCATGATTCCAGCTATATGACATTCTGGAAAAGGTCAAACTTTCTGGAAAAGACAGAAAAATGTAGAACACCAAGTGTGAACCCTAATGTAAATTATTGACCTTGGGTAATAATGATGTGCAAATGTATCATGAAATCAACGATCATTGATTTTAACAAATGTACCTCATGCAGGATATTGCTAATGGAAGAGTTTTTTGGGTTTTGTGTTTTACATGGGGAAGTATTTGGGAACTCTCTGTATTTCTGCTCAAGTTTGCTATAAACCTAAAAGTGTTCCATAAAATGTGTATTAAAACTTTTTATGTTTTAAAAAGATGATGACAAAAGAAAACACATTGAGGCCTAAAGTTACCATGGCTATTTCATAAAGGAGTTTGAGAGACTTTTTCTGGGAATCTACTTTTCATTTTTTTCCCCAAGAGTAAATAGACAAATTGCTGAACAAATATTATGTTCAGTTTGTTGTCACATAATTATTTATGTATTTTTTTATTTTCAGAAGAATAAAGTACATCATTCATGGGATACACAATTCTAATAACACTATTTCCAGGAAAGGTTAAGGAAAATGGCCTTATCTTAATGTCAAGTATTTATTGTTTTCATGTTAAATATTAATGAATGCTTTAACAATGCTTTTTAAATGTTATGTTTTGGTAGTATTTGATTTTAAATTTTACTTGATAACCACTGTTTTGATCCTTTTCAGGTATGCAGTTTTGTGTGGCCAGGTATCTGAGTTTGAGGGCTTACAAAACAAAGTCAACTATGGATATTGCTTCAAGGTATTTATCAACATTAAAAATGCTGTAATGTAGTTATATGTTTAATTAACAGGTATAAATCAGATTATTCAACAAATTAAGCTCTGGGAATATTTATGTTGTTTAAATTGTGAGCAGGAAATGAAATGGCACTCTTTAAGCTGTACTGTGACAAAAAAGAATCAAACTATTTGGGCAATTAAATATTATTATTATTATTCCAAATCCTGGAAATAAGTCACATAGGAAATGAGTGCTATTTTTTTCAAAGATATAGGGTTAACCTCTTAGTTGTTAGCTAAGTTATCAACATCATAAGTAGACTGGGCGTAATTACAATCTACATATGAACTTGGCAGGAGCAGATAGGGTCCAATATAAAGTTTAAACTTGCAGCAATAGATGAACAAAATAAGTAATTCACATACACATCACTTATTATTTGCCTTTAGTTATTATAGCCCAATAAATAATCCCTCAGGGTCATCATTTAATTATATTAATTGTTGGGGTAAGGAAGCCTCTGAGACAACACTCTAAGTCACTTTAGAGTTTACTTTTACTAGGAGTTAGTGCAGCTGCATTCAGTAATATCTGAAACTTAGAAGATGACTTTTCCTTTGGATATTTCTTTCAGGAACATCTAGATATAGCAATCACACTTTTACCTGAAGAACCCTTTGTGTATTACCTCAAGGGAAGATATTGTTACACTGTAAGTTGAATGCCTATATTTATAAATCTTATTTAAATGCACTATGAGTATATGATAGAGAGATAACTTATTCATTATGTTTACTGGGTGCCAATTGTAGGGAGACTATAAAATCAGCATAAATTTTGTATGAGTGCTTATGTTTTTATAATTGTGCATAAATGTATAATTTGTATACTATTTTAAAATTGTAATGCATATGTTATAACTTTAAAACTTGAAATTTGTTTATATATGTATAAACATCCATGATTTTTGCAGTTGTCTCACTTTGTGATCTCTTGGGTTGGCATCAACCACCCATATGCGTTCACTTTGTATATAGGAACACTACTTGTGGTTCTGTGGGAAGACTTCTTTTCATTCAGCAGTGTTTATTGAACATAAATTATGTTCTGGCTAACTGACCAAAAGATGAATAGAACACTGTTTGTTTTCAAGGAACTTAATTTAGAAGAGATATGAGACAGTGCTCAAAGAAAGCAGCTGGTCAGCCTTAGACCCAGTGTCTAAAATGGCATCATTAGTTTACAGAAGTAACTGAATGTGGAACTATATCTTAACAGGTACATGGAAAAGTTACCATGAAAGGGAAATGCTATTTGTAAGTGTGAACATTAGGGTGGACAAAAGAGGTGACTTTCTTTTTTAAGACTGAAAGAGGAATAAAGGTAAAGAAATTTGCTTTTATTGCCCACCCGCTGAAGATTAAATGTATATTTTATAGTTTATTTCTTGTTGCCTTAATCCTTAAAATAGTCCTGTAAAGCAATTATTCTTCCAGTTCTAAACAGTTCAAAATTTGAGTCTGTGATGTTAAAAACCTCCCCACAGTCCTAATTAATTAGTCTATGAAAAAGCCAACATTGAAATTAAAATTTGCTTAATTCCCAAAATCACTTTCTTTATATTATGTAACATAGGAAGGAAACTTACATTTTAATAAAGAAAAAGGAAAAAAAGTAAATAACCCATCTTTCCCATTTTAGCCTAGTTGTGAGACTGCAGAGTCAAATAGAATGATTTTTAGCACTCATGTTTTTATAATCAATATAATGTTCTAAAACACAGGATAATGTCTCCATTCCCTGTAGTACTGCACTATTAAATATACCATTCTTTTGCTAGGCTGTACTGGCTTTCAACAACTCACATTTTTATTTACTATTTACTTTCAATTGATCCTAAGTTATCTGAACTCTCCTTGAGTAGAAAACCTACATTTTACACTTCTTGATATCCTTTTCATCATCAAGCTCAGTTCTTCACACTTAAGCTTCTGTACAAGTATTTGTTTTTGAATAATTGATTGATTCACTTTGTATATAGGAACACTACTTGTGGTTCTGTGGGAAGACTTCTTTTCATTTAGGAGTGTTAATTAAAAGTAGAGAAAAAATACTGAAGACCAAGAATATTTAAAAGCAATAGTAATAAGGCTAATATTTGCATGGTTCTTATAAGCATTTTATACATTTAAAAATAATTTACTTATTTTAGCTTATTTATTTCTTCCAACACCCTGTAAGGTAATTGATTTGCCCAGGGCCACTTAGCTAATAAGTGATACAGAATAGGATTTGAACAGAGACAGTTTGTTCCCAAAGTCTTTGCTTTTTAGTAGTATGTTCTCCTACAAATTTTAAGTACAGGTGATAAATATGAGTTGCACAAGAAATAAGTTGGAATTCATTCCAGCAGGGGAAATAGAAGTGTGAATAAATGTATAAAGATCATTTCTAGCATATATAGACTAGAGAACTTAAAACTTTCTGGCCACAAAATATCTTAAAGTATGTATATGTGCCGTGTGTGTGTGTGTGTGTGTGTGTGTGTGTGTGTGTGTGTGTGTGTATGTTTTTAATCAGATCAGTAAAAGAAAAAGAAAGAAAGAGAGAAAGGTAAGGGGAAAGGGAAAGGAAGATCCAGAGGCCAAGAACACCAGCTCTGAGGACAGGTAAAGCAGCCATGAAACTACCTGATACCCAAAAGTATTTTTTAAGCCTGGTGAGCAGATCTTTGTTGGGGATTGAGGGACTGTGGGCCTAAACAGAGCAGAAAGTATAGGAAGAGTACCGCAGTTTATCTAACAATCAAAAAATACTTTTCCTAGGGAAAATAAAAAGGTGAACATGAATAAAATTCAGCAGAAGCAGAAGCTTATTGCAATGACTATTCATTCTCAGTCTTGACAATGGGGAAGAGGGAAGGGAAGGAAGGAACTCCTGAGACTTACAAGCCATTGACCCAACCTCACATGAGTCTGGGGCTTGAATGTACAAAATTTGTTTAGGCTTAAAAACCCAAGAAAGAAACTTTAATTCAAAACAAGCCCTGATCCATATGCCAATGACAGAAGCAAATTCTGTTCCTTCCTGAAAATTGTACTTTCACAGAGACTTTGTAAAACATTCACACAAAGTGTCCCAACAATGATGAGCTCACAGTCAAAAATTATAGACTATAAAAGGAAATAAGCCAAGAGGAATAACAATCAATGGAAACAAAACAAAACAAAAACCAAGTAAACAAACAAACCAGAACAGAAGTAGATCTAAAAGGACTTCAGATTTGGAAACATAGAATACAGGATATTAATCAGCAATATACAGCGTATTCTTTTTAAATACAGTGTATTCTTTTTAAATAAGAAGAATTAAAGGGAAAATGGATGTGCAGCTTTAGTAAAATTCAAAGCTATTTTCTGAGTATAAGCTGGGTTTATGGCTTTGCAATAAGACAAGCTAGAACTCACTAAAGAACTTGATAAATCTTTTCTCCTACTCTAGGATAGGAAGTTTGTATAACATTACCTCTTCTAATTATAGCATTTCATCCAACACTGGATGTTTAATTTTATCCATAAAATTAAATGAAAAATGAGTAAATTAAAAGTATTTCCTAATGCACTAAAAATGCATATGTTTGTTTTCTAGATCAAATTTCAATTTAATCACTTTATAAATAAATGTTATGGAGTAGCAGGTAAACACATTAAAAGATAATTATTATTATTAGTTCTTGGAAAACAGAGAACCTCTATATACTCACTTAAAGGACTCAAATTAAAAATTCAGGCAATAGCAAGTGTTGGCAAGGATATAGAGCAACTAGAACTCTCACATTGTGGTGGGAATATATGAATAATAAATAAATTCATGAATGAATGGTAGAGCAATTTTTAGGTATTTAATAAGACAAATGAAAATATATATTCATAAAAGACTAACACATGAATGTTCACAGCAGCTTTAGCAGCATAACAACATGGATGAATCTTCAAAGAATTATGCCAGAAAGACTCATTAAAGAGTATATAATGTATATTCCATTGGTGTGAAATTCTTGAAAAGACAAACTGTAGTCATAGATCAGTAGTTGCCTTGCGGCAGGAATTGAATAAGGAGATTGACTGCAAAGGGGCATGAAAGAGCTTTTGGGGATGATGGAAGTGTCCTATATATTGATTGTTTTGGTGATTTAGGATTATATACATTTAGCAGAATTCATTGAGTGATAGACCTATAATAGATGAAATTTTAGTTTATTTAGATTATACTATAATAAAGCTGATTTCATTTTTCATTTTTTTAAATTTATAATTCTTATTGTTTGTATTTTGTTTTGTTTGGGTACTGAGAATTGAACTCAAGGGTGCTTTACCACTGAGTTACATTCCCAGTAATTTTTGTTTTATATTTTGATTCAAGGTCTCGTTAAATTGCCAAGACTGTCCTCAAATTTGCAATCTTCCTTCCTCAGCATCCCAAGTCACAGGGGAGGCTGTGAGCCACCACTTTTAAAGCTAATTTTAGAAACACAGATGATCATAAATTGTAGAAATTAAACCATGCAAAAATATATCAAATAGCAATCAAAATAAAACTGCTAAACAGGCATGTGCATACACACACCATATAAATTTTAAGGCAAAATTATATCTAGAGATAAAAAGGGTAACTATACAATAATAAAAAGTTCAATTCACCAAGAATTTCTAAACTAGTATGTTCATAATAACAGCCTCAAAATTATAAAATGAAAGCTGACCAAATTATAAAGATAAATATACAAACCTACCATCTATTGATAGACTTCATCTACCTCTTTTTTTAATAGAACAAGAAAACACTCATAAACATTAGAATTTATGCATATTAAATCTCACATTTTAAAAGTTATTTAATGGACTGGATTTCTGTTACTCTAATTAACTTGGATGAAATTTTAAAACCATAATATTAAGTGAGAAAAACCACATCATAAAAGGAAATAAACAGTATAATATCATTTTTTACAAACTTCAAATCAAGTGAAATAAGCATATCAATAAGTAAAATTATATTGAAATGCAAATAATTTTTAAGTAGAGGGTAATGATTACCTAGAAATCTAGAAGATGGGAATAAGAAAGAAGTTGTTCAATGGAGTTTAGGAATTATCAGCTACATCAATACCCTTCAAGTATTCATTTCTGAACAAGCTTAATCTTTAATTGCAAACATCTAATATCCATATTTGAAAAAATGAAACACTTTTAAGAGAAAGCAAAAACTATATGGAGTATGAAATTAGTTTGTTTGGTTATTGGTTTAAATAAGTATACTGGATCCTCCCTCTGCACCATTTCTGAGTTGAGGTTCCTTATTCTATTTCCATTTTGAGATGCTGCTTCTGATTCAGGAGGTAGGTTGGCAGCTAAGAGTAGGCAGAAAAAAAGTAAAGCTGAGCTTCATAAGTAGTAAGTGCTAGGCAAAGAAGTACTCTGCACTTATATCAAATCAGATGAACAAAGAGGATTGGATATTATTCTCCAATCTATATGAGTATTCCAATCTGGTTTCAAAACCAGTGCTTCTGGAGCTCATGGCTTGTTAGGATTATGAGAAGAGGCTTGGGATGTTGCTCTGGGGTAGAGCACTTGCCTATTATGCATCAGGCCCTGGGTTTAATCCCCAGTGCCTGACCAAAAATAATTATTGGAAAGGGAAGCAAAATTAATATTAATATCAGAAGTGTGATATCTCTCATGTGTTATTTATGGGTATTTTTATTTATAAGTACATACATATACATACATACATATAACTGGGGAGAGATTAACCATTCAAAAGGTGAACAACTTTTGAGAGTAATGTTCTGTATTTGCAGATCTCAAAACTCAGCTGGATTGAGAAAAAGATGGCTGCTACTTTGTTTGGAAAAATACCATCTTCAAATGTACAAGAAGCTTTGCACAACTTCCTTAAGGTATATTTTATCTATCTGTTATTTTGGTATCAAATTGGCTACCATCTGTACCAGTCCCTGTGATCCTTGTTGTCAAGGAAGTCTTCCTCTTTTCCACGTGTAGATCTCCAAATGAAGCTTCAGTTTGAATCCTAGACTTGGCATGTTCTATTTTTAAGCCTTTCATGGTACAAGTTACATTTCTACTCAAACTTCTAAAGCAGCTGCATATACCCTAGATCCTGGTAATGACAAGCTGCTTTATAAAAATAATTTAGCAGCTTAAATGAAGGTTTAAGTAGAGCAGCCTTTACTACCAAATCCAGAAGCAGCTCCCCAAATCATGTGAGCATGTGCAGAAGCAGTCATACCTGATTATCAGACTTGTTCCTGGTACTCCCGGTGAGCCTAATATAGAACCAGTTTCATCTCAAAGCACTAAAAGATATCAAAAGGAAGTTATTTTTAATAACCACCTTCTAAGCTGCAGACACACTTCTATGGAGGATTCTCGGGGCATCAGATCCAACCAGTATTTTTATTCCAGTATTATAATACATTATTGCTATGCTAATACAAATTTAAATAGTATGTAAATATGAACATATGTTAATAAATGTGTAATATATCCATCCATATAATCAACTTTCTATAGGGCTAATCCTTTGCCTTTCTTTGGAGCAAATTATAAAATCTTATAGTTACAGGTTGAGCATCCCTAATTTAAAACTCAAGAGTTCCAAAATGATGCAAAATCCAAAATTTTTGAGCACCATCATATCATTTCTCAAAAAGTTTTAGATTTTGGAGCATTAGGGATTTGGAGTTTCTGGATTATGGATACTCTACTAGAAGGTAAAGTCTATACACGTTTTTCAAAATTTAATAAAGAAATCAAAGCTAAAACACTCCTGGTCCCATGCACTTTAAATATGGGATACTCAGCCTGTACTAAATGTTGTTTCTTTCTCCACCAACCTAACTCAGGATTTATAAAAATATAAGTAAAACCAGGCTCTCAATTGTATTGTCCAGTGCCAGTATTTGCATTATATTTTAGAGATATATTTTGTAAAATAGAAAGGGAATTTAGACATCAGGAGTCTGAGGTGGCAAATAGGCTTTCTTTCTTTTGCCATCTCTGACCAATCGCCAGTGGCTACCTGGAGGGCTTTGTGAAAAAGTAAGTGTTCTGAGATCAAACACAAGCCCAACAAAGAGAGTATAGTAAATAAAAGCACACTGACTACTCTTTTATTTTTTATTTAAGTGATCTTTTTGTTTTATGAAAAGGGAATCAAGGAACAACTAATTTGTCCAGTTTCACACAATGACGATTGAAGACTCGATTTAATATATGAATGAAGCCAAAGAGTACAACATCTTCATTTCTTTCATATTTTTATATCACTGAGAATTAGTTCTTTCATTTTAAATTCTGTAAGAATATGTATCATGGTAGATTTAAGATAGATGATTTATACAAAAGATGCCAAGTTAATTAGAAAAAGATGTATTTGAAATTAAAACTCATTTCCTCATAATATCACAGTTATGATTGGAAATTAGATTTTCATAACACTGTAAAAAAGTTCTTAGAAGATGCTAATATGCTTGAAATAATACACAGATAAAATCAAACATGGTTATCAGCACAATAACATAGAGATAAGTAGTACAGATTCTGGAACTAGAGTACCTGGTTCAATCAGCTCTACCACTTATGGGCTGATTAACATTGGGCAAATTATTAAACCTCTGTCTCTTTCAATTTAATCAACAGCATGGAGATAATAGTACCTACCTGATAGTGGTGTTGTGAGGATTAAATACATTCATAAGAGTAAATTGCTTAGAGTATGTCTAGCACCTAGTATGTGCTTAATTTACTAAAGAAAAAACTCTCAGAATTTTAACCTTATTAAAAATTTAAACGTCTGGGAAAACTATCTTGGGAACCCTACCATTTGATCATTATTTAGATTCTATATGAAAATGTGTTCTATCGTGTTTGTCAAAAAGAAGGGAGAAAGCACAAGGAATGCTTCTCTCCATATTTACTTCAACAGCTGAGGGTACTGAAGAACAAGTGCTGAGGGGTAAGGCTATGAAGGAAAGAAGAAACTCGTCCTGGGAGTGGTCGGGAGGACAAAGAAATAGCACAGGCCTTGGATTCTACACCTAAGGAGAGTCTGCAACCCCTGGTTTCCCCAGGAGCTCATGTTGTTGGAATTCCTGTTCCCAATCCATTCCTCCACAGAAAGTTCACAGGTTCCAGGAATGGGTCTCCAGAGCCACCCAATAGGGTGCGTGGAGGTCAAGAACACTGACTTAGAGTCAGACAAATGAAGCTAGGACTCAAGCATTTTCCTGTCTGTATGATCTGAAACACATTTTTAAAATTTCTCCTACTCTCAAATTCTTCATCTATTAAGTGGGCATGGTAATACCTACTTTTTATGGTTTGTGTAAGGACATAAAATAATACATCTAATGATCTTGGCCCAGGGTCTAGCATGTTAAAGGTTCTAACCAAATAGAAATATCAGCTACAGTTATTTTACTCTCATAATGGGAAATCTGATCCTCCTCAGCTTCCAAGAATCTTAGACTGATCATCATCTGTGAATCCGTTATGGGAATTCTTTTAAGCTGTAGAATGTTTCCCACCTCATCCAAAATTCTGGCATGATTCTCTGGGGGCAGTGATTCATACCCTGGGCAATGCATTAAAATCACCTGAGAGCTTTGAAATATGAATCCAATGCCATTACTCAGACTATTAGTTTCAGAATCACTGGCTAGGTCAAGATATGGTTTATAGACAATAAATCACATTCATTTTAAGTATACAGTTCAGAGAAGTTTGACAAATTTTTATCCCCATATAGCCATCACCATTTTAAAAAATAGTATTTCCATCACCCTAGTGAGTTATCTTTTACACTTCGCTGTCAGTTTTCTTATTCCCCACCAAGGTAACCACTAATCTGCTCATACAACTTGTACTTTTGTGTATATCTGGCTTCTTTCACTCAACATATTTTTAGATTCATTCATTTTATTGAGTTTATCAGTAAATCTTTTCATTGCAGAGTAATATTCCATTATGTAGATATACCACAACCTTTTATTGGTCAATATTTGCCCTGTTTCCAGTTTGGGCCTATTAGGAATATTCTATAAATTTTCATTTATAAGCTTTTGTATAGACATGTTTTTATTTTTCTGGGGTATGTACCTGGGGGTAGAATTGTTGAATCATATGGTTTTACAACTTGACCAGTTTTTTTAAAGCTTTCAAGGTGATATCAGTAGCAACCTATAGGAGGGTTGGGAATTACTAAACTAGAGGGTGAATACATATAGGGAGATATGGCAGTATTGGTGAACAGTATGTGAAACATGATTTCACATACTTTTTGCAATCATATAATAATCCATGAGTCTTTATTAGTTGTTTTACCAGCTATAGAGCTTTCTTCTATGTCCTGATATGGTATAAGGCAACTTCCTGAAATTATGAGACGTTTTAAAGCAACATTTATTTACTCAACAGTGTTTATTAAGCACATAGTGCTTAACACATTAGACAAACACACTAATGTCAAACACAGTTAGATGCAAGAAATACAGAAATGACCAACACAGTTCCTGCCCTCAAGGAACTTGGACAGCCAGGTAAACATGTACAGAAGTCTTTGCCAAGTGTTGTAATAAAGAGTGTTATCAGAGCCTCTTTAGAAACTGCCCCTTAATTAGAACATAATACTAAATGTAATTCATCTAAGGGCTTTAGTAAATGGTTAGAATCTGTTCCAGTTTAGGAATTCAGTGTTGCCAATAGTCTGTATTCCTTTGGGTTTCATTTGTTTTTAGCTATGAGAACAAAAAGAAGTATTTCAATTTCTAATCACTTTGGCTAATTAAACACAGGTGTTAAAGTAAAGTATGCAGAATTAAAACGCCAGCATTGAAGAAATAAACTGCCTACGTGCATACTATTAGGACTAGTGTTTCAATCCCAGATGGGATTGGACAGAGCTGACACAACTACTGAACATACAAGCAGGTACAGTTGGACAAAGTTCATTCTATCCTTGTTAGGATGGCTCAAGAAATGTATTTACTAAACTAGAAATGTTGAAGTGAAAATAATTAGACAAGAGAAGAAGCAGGAGAACCAGAATCCATCAGCACCACAGATGGCTCTACATTCAAAGTTCAGGCTAGAACTGAATTGACAGCTTCCTTTAATCTGTTGGTCTCCCTTCTACACAGGTCCACACATTGGTCAACTACTTGATCTTTAAAAATTGTACCCAGGCTGAGTTCCCAGCCCGGGAGATACGGTCCTCCTCTTCCTTTTGGAATAAAGTGTCTTTTACAAGGAATATGCTCTGTTAAGATATTGCAGCACCCTTCAGCACCCTAACTTGGACACACACACACACACACACACACACACACACACACAACTTCTTCAACTCAGCAATTCAATTTCTAGAAGTCTCTTCTATAGACATAATCACACATGTACATAAGCACATGGGTACAAGTATCTCACTGATTGTTATTGGGGATAATAGAGAATAAATCTAAATGTTTACTGGGGAATCCTTCATTTAATTAAGGCGTATCCACAGTATGAACAATAGAGTAAGTCTGTATATACTAACATTAAAATGTGTCTGATTCTTGTAGGTAAAATAAAGTTTTGAACTCATGTGCAGAAAATGATCCCATTTTAAATTTTCTTTCAAAAACCGTTTTTTTTTTCCCTCTACTTAACAGAAGGTCTGGTAGGCTGCATGTCCTATTTATGTAGGTAGTCTACTATTAGGACTAGTGTTTCAAGAATCTGTTTTTCCTTCAAAAGGACTTGCTGTGATGGACTTCAAGTATTATCCAACTCATATAGAATGTGTTGAAATCATAAAAAGTTAAATATTAATCTCATGGAAGATGCTTGCCATTGTTACCAATCATGCTCTTCTCATTACCTCAAGTGTGTGAAATGTATAGGACCTGCCTTGCAGTGAATATATCACCAGTTGTTTTTGTTGTTGAAAGGAAAAAAGAAAGCATAGACAAAAAAGAGTGAAGGTAATGATTATGTTAAGGAATTTCAAAACTTAAAGTGTCTCAATGCTTTGTCAGCTTTATGACCATACTAATCAATTTCATTTTAATGGTTAAATGCAAAAGCCATGTTTATGCCCAAAAGACACTTAGATTGATAAGATGATTCAAATGTGAACAACCAGCCTAAGTTCTTAGAGCAATTATGTTCATAATCTTACTTATTGAAATATATCCTCATCACTTGTGGCTGTTGTTTTAATACTGTCCTGTTATCCTCTTATCTGTTTTCTCTTAAATTAGGCTGAAGACCTACACCCTGGTTACTCTGTGCCCAATTATATGTATTTGGCCAAGGTAATGAAGAACACTATTTAAAGATCACTTTGAATCCATTACATAAAAATGCAATTACCTTTAAAATGACTTTTTTCATTTCCAGTGTTATATAGATCTTCATGAAAATCAGAATGCTTGGAAGGTCTGTCATTTGGCATTATTACTTCCTGTTGTTACCAAAGAGGTAAGTCTAGTGACAATGAGTGATGGTGTCTTATCAGTACTATTCAAGCTTAAAATAAGAACAACTGACTAAGTATATTTAGAGTTTTCTTTATTTATTAAATTTGAAAAAAATGAAAAAATAAAAAATAAAAATAAATTTGACATTTTTAGCCTTATTGAGGTATAATTGGAGTATACAAGTATTTGTATGTAAGGTGTATAACTTGATGTTTTGATATATGTGTACACTATGAAGTTCTTGCCACATTGAAGCTGATATTTCCATCGCCATACAGTTATCTTTTTTATTATTGTTTAAAATACTTAAGATGTGCTCTCTTAGCAAATTTCAAGCATACCCAACAATATTATTAACTACAGTCACCAGGCTGTGCCTAAGATCTCCAGAACTTATTCACTTTCCAACTGAAAGTTTGTACCTTTTGACCATCCCAGAGGAAATAGGGAGATGCTGACAATCACTCTTACATTTTCTGCTTCTGTGATGGCATTTTCTTTAACACTAAGACATTTTGACCTGGATTTTACATGTACTGTGAAGTTTTAACATTTGCAATGGTTCTGAAAAATAACTATCACTAGAAGACCACTTGAATCTTTTAAGGGATATGAAAGTCATGGGCTAGCAGATAAAACATCCTGATGCTTGCTAGGTGTAAAACTACAGAGAATGGATCAAGCCCCACTGGGAAGGAGGGCAGACAGCACATGAGCTAGCGATTAAACTGTGTAGGCAGCAAACAAACTTAGAGCGCAGTGAGATTATCCAAGGCCATCGAAAGGATTAAAAGTGTGTATTAACATTTTCTTTGTTTTTTGACACCTTCCATTAATGGAAAAGTAACTACTGCATTGCCTCTTGATCTTTTATCCTAAAATTCAGACTTCTAGGTATGCTATGTGGTTTAGGCATGCTTCAGGATTCACAGTTCAGTCTCTGCTTCTCTGAGTCATTGCCTGGTATTGTGGGAACAGATGGAATAGGTAAAGGTATTCTTGCTCCCTTCTCATACCACCAAACATCATCATCCTCTGATTCATATAAAAAAAAAAAAAAAGTTCTCTGGAAAAACTTTGCTCTTCTGTGTTGAAGGAGTGCAGGTTCCACTGTTGGTCGTGATCTGGAATGTAAACAAGTAAGACTCCTGTTGCCCTCTAGGAGCTTGTGGCCTGAGAGAACATATGGTATACATCCAAGTGACTGAGATTTAAAGTAGAAGGCATGAAGTGCTAAGAGAGGTACAAATAATTGGTTATGGAAAGTTTGAAAATGGGAAAATTATTTCTCCTAGAAGAGGTTAGGTGACATTAGAGATGGTTTTTAAAAGGTTTGTGTAATGGGGAAGTGTTAGTAAAGCATGTTGCATGTCATGAAAGAGGCACAGAAGTGAGAAAGCAAAGATTTGTTTGCCTGGGGTGGAAGGAGTGCTCAGGGCACTTGTAGGAAATGAGGCTGAAAATGGGAAGTGACACAAGATCTGCCAAGGAACCTTAGGGTTGGGGGATGTCTATGTCTCTAAAGAGGATCACTGAGTCCCTTCCACAGACACATGAGCAAGGTCCTGGGCTGCAGATATATATTTTCTGGATATTAGGAATTCCCAACAGGGTTGATTGCCCTTCTAACTCAAATCCCTTATTAGGTTCTGTAAGTTAATAGGGGGTACAAAATGGTACAATCTCAGTAGCAGTTTTCCAGAAGACAAAGTTTTAGGTAATTTTTTTCAGCAGAAATCAGATTTTTGTCCCTCTAGTTGCTTGCTATGTGTTGGTGATGGGAACCCTACTGTCTTTCACATTTTTCCTGAATGATGTCAGTTAAATACAATCATTCATTCATATTATAATGTAATATGAGAATACAGTATGATAATGCTATATAATACCTGGTTTGACTTACAGATTTTATGCATGAAATTTAGAGCTCTCACAAGAGGCTAAATATTGACATTGCTCAGAGTTTGGTCCTTGATCTGTAAGTCTCTTATCTTCTCTCCTATTTCTTCCTCTCCCCATCCCCAAGCCTGTCCTCCTTGGCTTCAAATGCCATACGTATGCCAGGGGTCCTAAAATTTCTATCTCTAGACCTCTCTTCTGAGATCTAGCACAACTTCCTACTTGACATCTCCACTCGGATGGCCTCAGACCTCTCACACTCAACTCACCATCAGTCCTTCGCATCTTCTGTTCCTCCACCTTCCTCCTTAGTAAGTAGTACTTCCATCCACCCAACAGGGAAACCTGAAAATCATTCTTAATGCCTCCTTCTCCTACTCCCGCCCCAAGCGCAGACATACCCCCGGGCACCAAGTTCTCAGAATCCCTCTTTTAAACCACCCCACTTTTCACTCTCTCCACTGCTGCTGCTCAGAGCACCACCTGCCTTCACCTGGCCTTCAAGGCATGAGAGCCTCCTAGCTGTCCTCTCACAGCTTCCTTGCCTCATGCCTTTTTGAGAGAGTGAAGTTCCACATTTTTGGCATGTCCTTCAAGACTCTGATTTAACCCCTACCAGTCTCAAGTCTCCCTTCCCCTTTGCCCCATGTTCATCCCTGCCTTTCACCCTTAGAGCTTGCCCTTCACTCTTCCTGAAACACGCACTTCCCACACAGCCCCTCACCCCTTTCACTCGCTTTACTCCTACTCATCCTTCAAGTCTCACCATAAATACCATGGCTTCAGGAAAGACATCCATGATACCCCCTGGCAAAAAAGGTCCTCATGCTTTCCTTCATATCATTTAGTGCCATTGTGATTATACGTTATTTGTTATTTGTGTGATTGTTCCATTAAAATAGCAAATAAGTCTGCTTCATTCACCACTTTATCCCTAGTGTTAGTATGTTGCCTAGCTTATTACCATTCAGTAAGCACCATTCAGTAAGTATTGGTAGAAAGAATTAAGACACTAATTCTACACAAATAAAAATAATAGTGTGAACACTAATAATAAGTAGGACTGTTAGTAAATATAACTAAGAAATTTGGATGCTGTATGAGTATTTCTTTAGTAAGCAAGATAGCATGAGCAGATATTTCTCACATTACCTTCTTCTTTTTCTTCCAGTGATGTCTCCACTTATAATCTTAGTAATTTTTTTTAAATTTCTTTTCCAAAGAGATCAAAATGAAGTGAATTACATATCATTCTACCTGTCTCTAAAAAGATTGTTCATGTTGAAATATAGCTCATTAATGATTTTGCTAATCATCAAAATGATTTATCAGTGCCACAAGTTAGAATTAAGATCACCTGGAATTGGCTGGGCATGGTGAAACATGCCTATAATCACAGTGGCTCTGGAGGCAGAGGATGCAAGTTCAAAGCCAGCCTCACAAATTTAGCGAGGCAATAAGCAACTCAGTGAGACCCAGTGGTCAAGAGCCCCTGAGTTCAATCCCTGGTACCAAAAAAAGATAACTTGGGCCTTAGTTTCCATTCCCTCATGAACTTGCTTAACATACTTGCCTCTTTCTTGTGGCATTTGTAACCTCTTCCTTGTCATTTATAGACATGTCTTTTGTCCCCTACCAGGGAGCTCTAAGCCCATCACACTCCTATTTGATATTGGGAATGTCAGCCAAGGTCTCTGGAGCACAGTTTGGCATGTGTAAGCAGCTTTACATTCCCAAAATTTGAAATTGCAGTATTTTTATTATTCATGTGGACTTTTCTTAACCCTAGGGAGGTAATCTCAGATCCTGAGAAACGTTCCTTTTTTAAAAAAATAAAATAAAAGGGATTTCTATGTCTAAGGCAGTGTGAAAATATTGCTGAATGAAATAATGACTTCACCAGTAGCTTGAAAGTTGTTTGCCTAGAGGCAGTATTCATGTTCATTGGCCTGAAGTGTACTGAGAAAGCTAAAATACAAAAGTATTGTGTAATTTGTTTTTAACAATGATGGATGTGCTAATCTGGGGAGGGACTATAGTTTTAATTGCTGTAATATTTTAAGTGACATTAATCACCCTTCTAAAACAAACTCATAAGATAGTTGTCTCTAATATAAGTAAGCTACTTCATAGGTCAATAATGTGTGTGTATGTGTGTGAGTGTGTGTGTGCACACATGCACACATGTGATTTTTCTGGCTCTTAGTTTTCTTCACATTTTTCTGGTAGGGCTAGGGCTTCTTCACATCTCATAGTTGAAGAAGAAAACAGTAATACTGTTAACATGCTGGTGGTTCCATTGTGTCAGCTTGCATGGAAGGCTTTCCCCTTCCTGAATCCTACCACTCCAAATCTGATGCAAGAAGATCATGGGAATAATTGCCCACATTACCCATATCTTCATATATCTGGATCATACTTGGCCATCAGAAATCCACAGTTTCTTTGTTATGACCTTCCAAAAAAAATATGCCTGCACTGAACAATAATCTATTTCAAAGTACCAAAAATTATTGGAGTAAGTGTGTGAAATTTCATTGTACACTTGTATTTTCTTTATAGGACAGAGAGGCAAACAAAGAGGTGAAAAAAGTAATGACTTCTTTGAAGAGGTAAATAAAAGAGCTTATTCTTCAACAAATCCAATGTGGTCTACTAAAATTTAAGTTTCTCAGAGTTATATTTTTATCATTTTTTTCTTTTTTGCTATAAGTGTAATGTGTTCAGATTTGAAGGTACAACCATGTTTCTGCAGAATTCATTCCACTAGTAGCACTACAAAACAAATCAAGTTATTTTGAAAATCTATTTACATAACTATCTATAAACATGTGCTTTTTATTTTTCTGATCAAACTATAACTTTCAGAACATTTCTTTAAATAAAATGTTTAAATCAATCCAATAAAATTAATTTTAGTGTATATTTTATTGCTGTATCAATGGAGACTTTATAAAACAAAATAATTTAAGTAAGGTCCATGGAAAAATAAAACAATATAATATATATTACAATATATTGTATGTTACAATATATTGTTATAATATATTATAATAAATTCTATATATTATAATATTATAATAAAATTCTGTTTTGCTATTGAATTTACAAGAACTTTTCTTCTTTAAGGAAACACTCAATATTGGCAATATTGCCATGAGATGTAATATTCTTATACTGCTAGTAGGAAGGTACAAACTTTTGGTAAAATGTCTAGAGCCTTAAAAATATATTAACACTAATATTGTAATTCCATTTCATAAACATATCTTAAAGAGAAAAGTATGAATTATTTACATGAAATGTTCATATCAATATGAGACTATGTCCAACAATAAGAAAACAGCTAATCACATTACAATTTAACTACAATAGCATATCATTTTGACATTAAAAACAATTGTTAAAACAATACAAAGAAATGCACAGAATATTTTAAGTACATGATAAAATAGAACATACATATAAGCTCAACTTTATAAAAATGTGCACAGAAAAGTTATCTAGTAGGAAATATAATATAGTAGTAGTTTATGTTTCTGTGAGGCTGTGCTTTATTTCTCATATTTTCCAATTTTAAATAATAAATTGCTATAATTTTTTAAAAACTGAATTAGCTAACAGTAAGTTTAAAGATTCCCTGGTGTCCTTTAACTAACCTTTATCCTGGAAATCAGACCAAAACTTGAATACATGGATACACACATACACTCAAAATTTCCAAGCCCTGACTTAGAAATGCCATTCAATCAAATTGATCTTGTTCTCCCTTCTCATCTTTTATAATGGCCAATAGAGAAACTGAATCAGTTCAACCTCCTTTACAAGTGGCCTAACACTAGAACTGTTGACAAGATGGGGTAGGAGTGTTGCAGGTCCTCTCATGGATTTTCGGAGTCTGTATTGCTATGGATACCTCTGATAGCTGTAAGCCACTAAAGGAATATGCAAGTTAAAACAGACTATTCCAGTTATCAGCAAATGACATAAAACCCATCATGTTGTAGGCTTCATGGGAGCAACTCACTCAAACCGAAGACAATTAGACGTTTTCCAGGAATTATGAGAAATATAGAGGAACACTGGTAGATATCAGTGAGACTTGGGACTCATAACTAGAACATGACAATGTTCAATTATTTTAATGAAATTCCTCTTTGGTCCCTGCAATCAACATGTCTTCAATTGACAAGTGGATAGGACTTTGCCTAATAGAAGAAGTGTAACGCTTCTACATCAATCTTCAACGTATTAAGAATTTCCTAACCATTGGGCAATAGCATATCATTTTGACATTTCCCCAACAGTGTGGTAAAAGGAACAGTCCCCTTCCCCATTATGGTCATAAACCTTCAAAATAGCACCAAATTGTATAATCATAAGAGTATGTGTGACGAGGCCATCTAAAAACAGTTTCTCCATTAAATATCCCATCTTGTCAAAGCTGACAATTTTTCTTGTATGACAGTGTTAAATGTAGAATATTGCACTTACTTCAGGAAATTTCACACAAAGTGAGCCATGGAGACTCTAATTTTTTTTTTTTTTTGATTACTTCACTCATCACTCAGGTTGCTTGACTTTGAAGAAGCCAGAAAAACTACTGAGTGTCCTGATTGAGGATTTCTGCTACTGGGTCACTAAGGCCAAGCTATAATGATATTCACCCTTCACTCACAGAGACAGTACACAAACTGCTAACCTCTCAAGCGACTCCATGGACAACTTGGGAAAGGGGGGTTTGGATCCAAAACTTTAAACATGTTCAGCTTCAGGAGATAGGAATCAACCTGTATGCTACAATTCCTCATGAAACATTTAAAGAGTAACTTAGTGTTTCACAAAAATTTTAACGATTATAACGTCCATATAACTGCATTGATAGCTCTTACTTAACAAATAGCTTTCATTATAACATAAAAATCCCATCTGTTGCCCCTAAAAAGTTGTCAAAAGGCTTTTCATGTCATACTATTTTTATACTCTTGAATTACATAGAACAGTGGTAAAAACTGGAAGAGACCTTAAATATAAGCTCTTATACCAAACTTCTTATTTGCATTGATGCATAAGTAGCACAGTGAGGGTCAGAGAATTGTACTGGCCAAGCCAGGGCTGTGTCCAGGCCTTGCAATCTTACATCTTCTGCATCCCTCTTTGAGCCAAGGACTCTTTACATGCAACTGATTGGAATCCAATGTGCCTGGCATGGAGCGGGGGCTCTCAGAATGATAACTTACATGGTGACTACCTATTCTAAATGCTTTTTCTATCTCAGCCCATTTCATCCTCATAGCAGTCCTATGAGGAAAGAACATTCAATTTTACTCCATTACTCCCCTATGCAGGGGAGCTAAAGTGAGCTTTTAGATAACATGCCTAAGACAGTGAGCAAAGGATTTGAAATTGAGCAGACAGCTCCAGAGTGCATGTTGTAATCTGGGCCACAATGCAATTCTGCCAGCCAGTGGGGGAAACTATGGATAGGGGAGGAAATGATAGAAAGTGGAAGGAGAGCATAAGAAGAGGAAGGAAGAGAAAGGTAGGAAAGAGGATTTTTTTTTAAGTGGAGGGGATCATAAGGAAAGAAGGAAGATAAAGATAGGGAAAAAATGAAAAGAAAAATCTTATATTTATTTTTTGGATACTAGCATGCATTTTCTAGTTTCACATCATAAATTTCCAATACACATAATACTCTTACTTATTTTCCTTATATTAAATCTTTCTTATATGCCCCAGTGGCCCTACCCAGATAAGGAAAGAGAGGCAAAAAAAAAAAAGAGGGTGCAGAAGACTAATTTTAATAACATGATCTTACTTCGTCTGTTTATGTTAGGAGAATCTCATTGTAGGCTCTATAGTCAATTGATTGGTCAATTAATAAAACTAGTTTATTTCACAGTGATAAAATATATTTTAGAGGCAAGTAAAGTTAGTATCTTGAAGTTCTGTGATTTTGGAGCTCCCGAACCTGTATTTTTCTATAGGAACCTGAAGCTAAATCATTAAGGTTGAGTTTTTCAAGTTTTATTGAGATGTAATTGATGTATAAATAATTGCACATATTTAAAGTGTATAATTTTGATAAATTCTGATACATATATACACCCACAAAAGCATCACTATGATTAAGATAAACATTTCTATCACTTCCTAAGCTTGTTCATGCCCTTCTACAATCTTTCCCTCCTGACCTTCTCTGTACCCCATCCTCAAGCAACCACTGATCCGCTGTCACTATAGATTGTATTTTTTAAAATTTCATATTAAAAGAATTATGTATCCTTTTCTGTATAGTTTCTTTCATTAAACGTAATTATTTTGAGATTCATCCAGGTTGCAGCTGTGCCAATAATTAATTCCTTTCTTTAATTCCAAGTTGTACTTTTCATTATATGGCTATGCCACAGTTTGTTTCTAAATCCCCTGTTGATAGATATTGGAACTGTTTCCAGTACTTAATTATTACAAATAAATTTTCTGTGAACATTCATAGAAAGTCTTCAAATGGTTATATACTTTCATTTCTGTTGAATAAATACCCAGAAGTAGGAAGTATGGTTGATGTATGTCTGTCATTTGATAACTGTCAAACTTTTACAAAGTGGTTTTGTCATTTTACATTTTCACCAATAGCACATGAAAGTTTCACTTGCTTAATCTAAATTTAAAATCACTTGTTTTTAATTAATGTTTTTAATTTTAGCTACTGTACTAAGCATGTAGTAATATCTGGTTGGGGTTTTAACTTGTATTTCCCTAGGGACAAATTATGCTAGGCCTTTTTTCATATACTTATTTGTCATTCATTGATCTTCTTTGTGAGATGTCTATTCAATTTTTTTGCCCACTATTTAAATTGGGATGTTTGCTTTTTGCATATAGCTTGATGTATGGCTTGAAGTTCATTTGTTATGTTGTTTGGAGACTTAGTTATTCTAACACCATTTGTTGAAAAGACTGTCATTTCTTCACTGGATTACCTTTGTACCTTGTCAAATATCAGATAGATATGGATTTTATTTGATGGTTTCTGGAGTTTCTATTATGTTGCAATGATTTATTTGTGGACCTTGATGCCAATACTATATTGTGTTGATAATGTAGTATAAATCCTTCAACTTTTTAAAAAGGCTATTCTAAGGTCTTTTGCATTTCCTTATGAGTTTGAGAATCAGTTTTTTACATTTCTACCCACAAAATCATGGCTGAGATTTTGATTGGTGTTGTATTGATCAGATTGAAAAGAATTCACATCTTATTATTGAGTATTTCAATACATAAATATACCTCTTTATTTATTTAGGTCTTTAATTTGTTTTGTAGTTTTTAATGTACAGGTCTTTCACATTTTTGTCAAACTTACCCCAAATATTTCATATTTTAATGCTATTATAAATTACAATGTTTTAAATTCAATTTTCGATTTTCCATTATATATAGAAATACAATTGATTTTTGTACAAAGGTGTATCCTGCAACCTTTTTAAACTCACTTATTATTTCTAGTAGGTTTTATCTAGATTTCATTAAATTTTTCTTTACAAATGATCATGATGTTTGTAAATAAAGACATTTTACTCTTTATTCTGGATGATTTTGTTTTGTTTTTGCCTTGTTTTACTGTCTAGAACTTTGAATACACTGTTGGACAGAAGTAGTAAGAGTGAACATTCTTATTTCGTTCCTGATCTTAAAAGAACTCATTCAGGATTTTGCCATACATTATAATGTTACCTATAGATTGCTTGTAGCTTCCCTTTCTTAGGTTGAGAAAGTTCCCTTTTTATTCTTAATTTGCTGATTTTTTTATGGAATGAATATTGATTTTTGTCAAGTTTGTGTTCATTGAGGTGATCATATGGTCTTTCTGTTTTAGTTTGTTTATATGATAAATAAATTGATTTTTTAATATTTAGAAAATCTTGCATTCCTGGGATAAACCTTAGTCTTAATTTATAATTATATTAATATACTGGTGGATTGCTAACATTTGTTTAGAATTTTTACATAAATATTTACAGTGGATATTGGCCTGGGTTTTCTTGTAATTTTTTTTTTCCTTTGGGCATTGGAGTAATCTAAGCCTCATAGAATGGGTTGAGAACTTTTACCTCCTCATCATTTTTCTTAAAAAACTTTGTGTAGAATCAGTATTATTTCTTTCTTAAACATTTTGTAGGATTCACTAGTGAACTCCTCTACGCCTGGAATTTCTTATTGAGGTGTTTGTAGCTATAGTTTCAATTATTTTAGTAGATACAATTAACAGGATATTTAGTTTATCTTTCTTGAGTGAGCTTTGGTAGTTTACATTTTTTTGAAGAATTTGTCTTATTTCACCTAAGTGTTCAAATTTATTAACACAAATTTAGTAATATTCCCTTATTATCCTTTAATTATCTATAAATCTATAGCAATACTACCTACCTCATTTCTGATAATGGTGATTTCTGTTCTGTTTTTTTCCTGACCAGAAACTTAGTGTTATTGAGCTTCTCAAAGAAACGGCCTTTGTTTTCATTTATTTTTCTATTTTCTGCTTCATTCCTGCTATAGTCTACTTCCCTTCCTCTATTAACTTTAGGTCTTATATTGTCTTCTTCTAATTTCTTACGGTGAAAGCCAAGGTCATTGATTTGAAACTTTGCATCTTTTCTAATGTAGGCTTTTATTGCTATTAAGTTCTCCCCAAATACCACGTTAGCAGTATACCACAATTTTTGGTGTCATGTTCTCATTTTCATTCAATGAAAAATAAACTCTAATTTCCACTTTTATTTCTTTGTTGACACATAGATCATTTAGAAATCTGTTTGGTTTGCAACTATTTGGGGATTTTGCTGATATCTTTCTATAGTTATAGTTTACTTAAATTTTCTTGTGATCAGAAAACATTTTGTATGAATGGAATCTTTTTAAACTTACTGAGGCATGTTCTATGGCTCAGAATATTCTCTGTCTTGGTTAATGTTCATTATGTACCTGTGCCCAGCAGGTTCAAAAACCTAGAAAGACATGGTGTTCTTTGACTAGGAAGACAGCATATTAAAATTCTCAAGTATCCTTCAGTTAATCTACAAACAGGATGTAATTCCAACACAAATGTTAACAGGATTTTTTTGTGTTCTAAGACTCAAATGGAAAAGAAAACCAGTAAAAGTGATTGTAAAAATGCTGAAAAAAGTCAAGGAAGTTAAGTAATAATACAGGCAACCACATCTACTAGATAGGAAAAAATATGTAAAACTAATATTCTAAGAAATACTGTGGATCTGGGGTGCTGCATGCTGGTATCAAGGAGTGGTTTTTTGAAATTGCAATGTGTGATTATAGATGGACTATTGATGTAAGAGAGAAGGGATGACTGGGATGAAATGAAGCTGTTGGAGGCTATGAAGGACATAGTAAAAAGAGAATTTAAAGTACCATAAGCTGAGAGAGGCTATTGAACATGTGTTTGATACTGGGTCTCCCAGTAGTGCATTTTTCTGTTTTCTTTAGGGCCATGTGGAACCTCTTTAGCCCCTGTAAGCAGTGGGTCCAAAGGGCCCATCAAAACAGAAGTAAACTCCCCCAAACAGCAGCACCTGCAGGCACTGAAAAGTCCTATTCCCTCTGATTTGACAGGAAAGACAGTCTTGTAATCGTAAATTACATTCTGCCTCTGAAGAGTTCAGCTAAGACATTTCTTTTCATTGAGAGTAACTGGATTATTGCAGAATGACTACAGAAGTAATATTACATTATCCACCATACCAAAGTGATCCCATACAATTGCCAAAAATTAATTCAAAACTTCTAGTCATCATCATCAAGATCTGTTCTTTGGTTTCCACATGATAGGTCCAAACCTCCACTCCAACCTAAGAGATTGCCACCTGTAATTTCTGGAAAGGCTGCTGAAGATGAAAAACAGTACTTAACTATTTCAGAACATTACATTAAATCACAGAGTTATGATTACACAATAATCTTTTGGACTTCCAACCTAGTTTGAAAAAGCAGCACTTAATCTAGTCAGACACACTGAATGAATAGACTAATTTGGAAATTTGGATTTTAAAGTCCATAAAAGGGGCTGGGGATGTGGCTCAAGCAGTAGCGCGCTCACCTGGCATGCGTGCAGCCCGGGTTCAATCGTCAGCACCACATACCAACAAAGATGTTGTGTCTGCCGAGAACTAAAAAATAACTATTAAAAAAATTTTAAAAAATAAAATAAAGTTCATAAAAAAGGAAAGCAAGACAAGAAGAAATCTTGGAGTGTTTTACTTGTCAACAATAATTATACTGAAAATATTTTCCTTTGTCTAAAAAATTTCAATATAGTTTAAAGGCACTAAATTTGTATTCACTCTATAGAGTAAGAGGGACAACAGAACACAATGTTTGTAACAACCAAACCTGGAAGACATTTGGGCAAAACTTGACTGAATTATTAGGCATGAGGAAATTCCATCTTGTGGTGCTATAATTCAGACATTTAGGTCAAATGTAAGAGTTTTGTGATGTTAGGTACTGTGAATATGTGGGAAATGTTTTTAAAGGAAGATGAGTTCTTAATGGAAAAATGAAAAATTGTGCATAAATATAGTGTTCTTTTTATTAAGTAATGAATTCTACTGATTGTCAAAAAGAATTTTTTGAATGAACTGAGCATGGACTGAAAGAGTGAAATGAACTTTTTTACTGGTTTTACATCTTAAAGACTTTTATTTAGAAGTCTGATGCTTCCATTATATAGCCTATTTATTCTTTAGATTGTGGATAAGTTACATTGTGGGTAATATATGTACAATTTATGTCCCAGAAATGAATAAGTATTCAGGGAATATCTAAGCATGTTAATTATGTCAAGAACTTTCTGGATTCTACTTATTAACAGTATTATTTTAAATTAATTGTAATAAGTGGTGTTTATACTGGAAAAAAGAAATATTGTGAATGAATAGGCAGATACATTAATGACATAGTAGAAAAGAAGTCTATAAATATATTCAAATACACAGGCAAACAATATATGTTAAAAGTGGCAGGAGTAAGGTTGTGGCTCAGAGGTAGAGCGCTCACCTAACATACGGGAGGCACTGGGTTAGATCCTCAGCACCACATAAATATAAAATAAAGATATTATGTCCGCCTATAACTAAAAATTAAGTATTAAAAAAGTGGCATGTAGAATGAATTATTCAATGAATAAGCCCCTAGAGGGGCTGGGGATGTGGCTCAAGCGGTAGCGCGCTTGCCTGGCATGCGTGCGGCCCGGGTTCGATCCTCAGCACCACATACCAACAAAGATGTTGTGTCCGCTGAGAACTAAAAAATAAA